TTGTGATGCCCAGTGTGTCCACTGCCTTCTTTAGCATGGGCATGCTCCTCCACTTTGGCAGCCTAAAGAGTGGAAAAACATGGAAAGAGGCAGGTTATCTCACAAAAAAAAAAACTTTGGATATGAAGAAATTTCGTAAATGTGTTCATCACATCTTTGAAGCACCTGAGGTTCATAGATCTCACACTTCACGTCCACAGGTTTATGATCCGAAAAAAAGCTATCCTTTTTTTCAGCAGGGTTTATGCTTTCTAACTGGTCATCAAGAGTCATGTGGGAACCCGAACACAACCCCCTATGCTGAGAAAGAAGAAATCAAATCAATAGTTATGCCTTGTTGTACAGTCCAGATAGTATATTAACTTTCACACTATACATTCACACTATACATAAATCCAATTGGATCCATTGGACTTTAATGTATCTAATTAATTGTTTTTCTAAGAGCAGAATATTTTGACCAAGTTTATTAATTTAGTCCCTGAAATCGCAGAAGACATATTATTTTTGCAGATGTTGGTCAATTTAGCGCATATCAGGGACACTTTTGCTTTGGATTTTAGAAACTCTGATGTGCAGACCTGATGTGTCTCATCCACACCCAGTATATCTGACATTCGTAATTTTTTCCTCATAGCATAGTGGTATCAGCGCCACACCGTGGGAGTAAATATGTTCCCTCTAATCCTCCAAACACAGATGATAAATGGATATCTGAGACCAACTGCGGCACCTTATGGTTAAAACCTAGTTTTAAAAACTTTGTAAAAATAATAACTTCTTCTTTTTGTTTATTGTTAAAACGTGGAATATGCCTCATATTTAATACAATAATATTTACAAATTCCTTTTTCATTTACTTTTTAAAAAACACACTTTTAATGAGTCATGTTAATATGTTGTAGAAATAACAATAGTGATAATTTAAAAAAGGGGAGTAATTGGTGAGTTAGTGCGTTACTCACAGCAAACTGACAGTTCATAGGTGGGCAGCTGCTGAGTTCAGTGGCATATGTTTTCTTTGAACACACCGTCTCCACAATAGTGAACTCCACAAAGTAGGAAGGACCAACAACCCACTGAAAAACATAGAAAATTGAAGTAAACACAAGTTTAAGTGTGTTTTTCACAAAGGGAGCTTTCAGGAAAATTCAGGAATTATGGATGTCTGTTTCTCAGGATTTCTGATATTAGATAAAATCATAATTGCAGTGGCTGCTTCTTAACAAAGTTTTATTTCAGCTCAGTTCATTTACTGTTGTGTATTTCTAATTACCTGTGAACTGGCTTTTGTGATGTTCTCCAGAGTGAAGTAGTTGGCCAGGTTGCTCTCTTCGTTAAATCTTTTCAGAGAAAGATTGGCGGTCTCCTTGATGACAGGTTCATTCAAGTTTTCAGCCGTGGGGCAGTCTGGACATGCGTCCACCACTGCAGTGGCTGGAACTAAAGACATGGATGAACCGAGTCAGAAGTTAAAGGAAGAAAGAAGCTAAAACTTCCCAGCCAGTGACAGGAACTCAAATCTGAGCCATTCCCAGAGTCCCTGTCTTCATTCCCGAATTTTTCATTTCACTGGTTATTGAATAGAATTGATTGGCCACCCCATCCCAGGTTTCATGCAACATTTCGATCTACCTTCATGCAGTGCACAGGTGTAGTTTTGAAGTCGGACTTGGGTGTCAGCGAAGGCAGATACCTGGCACACCCCATAGACCTAAAGGAGAAAAAACACAATTACCCAAACACACACACACACACACACACACACATATATAGATATACTGTATATATACACATACAAGTTGTAGGCTACGCCTAATAATGACTTGTTGCTTACAGGGAGATTTCCCAAATCTCTGACTTCACATTGTTTCCATGGTTTCCTGCTGGTGATGTGACATTTGGTTTCCATGACATCAATGGTCAGTTTGTAATGCAGTCCACCTTTCTCCTGAGGACATGCAAAATATGGACACATATTTTAGTTGTATCGCTTAGTAGTGGTAGGCTCTCCTTATCTATGTAAAAGCTTCAAACGGCTTAAAGTAAAAAAACTACTCATTGAATGGTCATTAGGGGCTAGGTGCAAAAATGAACAGGTTAAACAGCTTTTTTGAATTAGTGAAAGGTCTAATAAGTACCTCAGTGGCAGCTATGATCTGTTCAAATTCTCAAGAAATAAAATACATGATCTACAATACTTCCTGTCATGTGTTTTTGAGAATAGGATAAACTGGATTGTTCTTTGTGAAAAAGAGGAAGCCTAAATAATGCATTACCATAGAGAGTCTACTTGACTGACAGGTGAGTGTTTTGGCTCCTAACTAACTGATGTGCAGATTGGCCCTGTGTGTGTGTGTTTTTTTTTGTTTTGTTTTACATAGGTCTATCCCTTGTGGGCGTTGTCTTTGGTTTCACAAACCCAAAAAGTTGGCAGGTGAATGGCAAACTTGAGGCTTTAAAACAAGTCCTCATAGCAGACACAGTACAAAAAGGCAGATTGATGTCCTTCTTTTACGATGCAGCTGCATGCAACATTACAGTATGGATGTGTGTGTGCACAGGCATGTGTGAGTTTCCCCCCTAACCTGTTCTGAAGTGTGAGAGAGATCATACAGTCTGTTGAGGCTCAGGATGTATCCATCTGTCCTGTCCTGGTTGATCTGCTCCAGAGCCTCTTCTGCCACCCTCACGGCCTCGGCGCTGCTGCAGCCCGGTGGGTCGGGCCTGGCTCTCCCCTCATGCTGTAGCAACGCCAAGCACAGGAGCAGCAGGTACACACTCATCCCTAACACAAGCACACACACACACAAGTGCTCAGTGAAAACCTCTATCCTTTTCTGATCGGTTGATTGAACTTATCAAACTATGTAATTTAGCATTTAAACTAACACATTCACTGGTCTAGAAATCTTACGTTACAGGACCTGTAATCCCGGTTTTGGCAGAGAGTGTTTCAACAGGCGCATGTGACACAGATGCTGGACTTTCTCCTCTCTGTCAGACGCAGAGCAAACAGCTGCTATCTGCTGCTCCGTAGGTCAATGCCTGCTCCTTACTGGCTGAGGGGATCATAGTACACTGGGACACAGGGGAAATATCTCATTAAAAAAGACAATTAACAAGTACATATATATATCATTTTACTTCTAGGTTATGACCATACAACTTCTTGAAATCCCTAGAGAAATCTAAATATCCCAACTTAAAGAATATCTATTAGGCCTGTTCTATTGCTGGCCTTTGGCTGTCAAAAGAAGACAGTGAAGGAGTCAACAAGGTCTAATGCTTCCTGTATTGTGGCCCACCTCTTACTTAGGATTAAAATATTTAATACCACGGAGATCTACAGAGTAGGTTCGCATTCGTGGAAATATAAGAACTGGCTTTTATGACTGTCTGTGAAAATAAGACTCAAAGACACTCATGAGCTACCAGTAAACTTTTAGCCTTAATGTACAGCGCAAGCAACAGTTCTGCTTTCGACCTTTGTCTTGTTTGAATAGCTGAAAAACAAACAGAAAATCCATGCCTCTGTTTTGCAGAAATGAGGAGCCACTTTACTTTTGGGGATTGGTCAAGGAGTAGTGGCCATCTAGGCACTCAAGTTAGTTGAGTCCAAGATTCGACTGTTAAGCTTATTGTTTCCAGATAGTGTTCCGTCTATCAGCTGTGGAGAATCCAATTGTTATCTTGTAATCTTGTTTTAAGTGAAAATATTGGATGTGAAGATACATTCAAATGTGGAACTAGAATTATCATTTTTTAAGTGTTATTATTATTGCTATTGGCAGTCTTTGCATAATTTCCCGAAACACAAATACAAACCTTCCTACCTGGAAATGACAAAACAGATCACTTTTGGGAATTTCTTTTCATTTTTTTTTTCAGCTATTGCAAAAACAGAACTGCGGCCAAGCTTAAAGATAAGAGCTGTTTACTGAGTTTCCGTATCTAACTTCAGAAAAAAGTCCAAAAGATAATACTCACAGACGAGGTGTTGAATCCAGCAGATGTTATGAAAGCCTGAAACATCTGTTTTTGACGGTTGTCAGGAGGTGGAAAATAATCTGCCTGTTTTGTCAGTTTATCCATTTAGCTCTTAATGTATTCTGTTTCATCATTAGGTGGTTTGAATTTTTGCATTTGATGAATTA